AAACATCAGAATTGAAATTCAAATACAGTTTTTCAAAGATAGGGTCTAGTTCTCTTCCCACTGTCATGTTAAATGTATGCAACTGGACTTGAAACTAATGCTGGAAATAAGAGGACAACCTGTGGAAAACCAGATAACTGCCAGAGAGATGATGGAACACTGATTCCAATTTCTATGCAGCAGCTCACTCAGGTATGGGTTCAAGGTTACAAGGGAAAGGCATGAAGTATTTAAAAAAAAAAGTAATCATTATCTATACAATACTAACACTTCACTTAAAAAAAAGAAGACTAAAAACTACATGAAAATGCTAACTATGATTACCTCTGACAGAATATCATATTCATGATGATATATTCTGCATTTCCAAGTTGGTGTGCATAACTTCCACAAGCATAAAACATATACTCTGTTTTTTAATTTGACTTCAATTCCTCTGTGTAAAATAGCAGCCATTCTAAGTACTGTGAATAAATTTCAAACAGATTCTAACCATTAAACTATTAGAATGTTTACTTCATGGAGCTCGGATAAGCACTGGACATATAAAGGTAAAATAATGGGGCACCTGGGTGGCTCAGTGGGTTAAGCCACTGCCTTCGGCTTGGGTCATGATCTCAGGGTCCTGGGATCGAGTCCCGCGTCGGGTTCTCTGCTCGGCAGGGAGCCTGCTTCCCTCTCTCTCTCTCTCTCTCTCTCTCTGCCTGCCTCTCTGCCTACTTGTGATCTGTCCCTGTCAAATAAATAAATAAAATCTTTAAAAAAAAAAAAAAAAAGGTAAAATAAGACAACTCTTGCCCTCAAGAAGTTCACAGTCTACTGGGGTAGGCAAAGCTGTCAATAACTAACTAACTACAGTGTGATATGGTTAAGTGTGATAATGGAGATGTGGTAAGGAAAGCAGGATGACTGCAGATGAGGCTGGAAAAGTAGATTTGAATCTTAAATGCCACACAGAGAATTTAGACCTCATTATACAAGCATGAGAGTCACACTGAAGATCTGAAGTGAGGATGCATGAACACATTCATGTTTTAGAATGTGGACTAAAGGAGGGAAAAATCAAGAGTCAGTGAGATCACTAGGAAGGTTTTGCAATCATCCAGGCTGGAATTCATTTCTGGTTAAACAATGATTAACTACTGACAAAGTGCCAAGAAAAGGTCTTGGCAGACAAAACCGAACACGTCAAAGTTTCAAGAACACAGTTTGGAGGATGGAGGACACAGACAATTCAGCAGCAACGGTGAAGGTTAGAAACAGAAAAGGGGCTAAAGAGATGAAGAACAAATTCAAAAGATTTCAGGCACAGAAAAATAAGGCTTAGTAAGTCATCACATTTGGGACATGAGGGCAAGACAGAAATCAAGGATGCTTCCTAGGTTTCTAGCTAAGGTCCGATGCTATTTATTGAAATAGCAAATATAAAAATGAGGAATTCACACCACCTGCTACCCCCACTCCTAGAGAAATCACATATTAGTTAATAAGGTCTCCAGAGGAAGTACATTATAAATCCAAAGTAGCATTCCCATGATTATCATCTACTGAGCATGCATTTGCAGAGAAAAAGGTAACTCAGAATATTACAATATAGATACACAGGTTATTATGGTCAGAAAAAAATCACCTCCATCACAAAGATCTCCTGTAAGTACTGTCAGTTAATAAACTATATGTGTTATCTTACTGCCTGTGACTAAAAACAGCAAAAGAAAAAATATCAGTAATACATCTCCAAGTGCGATTTACTATCTGTTCTTAATTTACTACGTGTTACTTAATATACTATCTTGTATTTACTACCTGTTCTTAATTTTAGAAGATAATATGAAATCCCGTTACAGTTCAAATCTATGCAAAGCAGTGTTGTGCAAGATCAGGGACTTTTCTGGAGAGGGATGGAACCTCAGAAGTCTGACAGCAGAGATCTCAGGTAAGGTATTGTACCTGCTTGCACACCACTCGGTGACATTGAAGTAGAAATCGTCAGTCCCAGGATAGTAAGCACACAGACTGATATTTTAATTAGACTGAGAGTGAAACCTCTTAAAAAAGACAGTTTTCAAGAAATTAATGATTTCACAGGGAAAGACATTCTTGAGGATCTAAGTAACTGCTTAACAAAAAAATGCAAATATACTTTTAGTATCATTATTTCCACCTAAAACTTTCATCATACTTTGTAAGCTTTGAAAAGAATTTGGATAAAGTTACAGAACGATACATAAATTATTAAGGGGATTTTTAATGACAACCTTACCTTATAAGAGTGATATAAAAATCAACCATTAGTTCTCCCATTGACTGCTACAAATTAGTAAGAATACTTGTCAGCTACGAGCCAAGATGAGGAATTTTTTGGTTACAGATGCTTCTAATTCACTGCTGCTCAATACTTTTGTTGAAAACAAACTGGAACATAAAATTATGCTTTATAGCACTTACTCAATTCAATCCAACAGTCATTTAAACATTGGTCCTTGATTAATGATTTCCTCACACTGGTAAGCACAGGGGAAAAGAACACTCATATAATACTGATAGTTGTGTATACTGACATCTTTCAAAGGGAAAATCTGACATCTTTCAAAATTTTAAACCTGTGTAATTACCTTTGACCCAGCAATTCCTTAAGAAATACACACCAAGAGGGAGAAGGACATGTATATAAAGTTATTCACTAAGCCCACTACATGTTCATAACAGAGGAATGGTTAAAGTATGGCACATTCATTTTATGGAATACAACTGGCACAGTCCTTAAAAAAATGAAGCAACAAATACACTGACATGGAAGAGTGTCTATAATAGATCATTGGGAAAAAGGAGGTTGCAGATCTTTGAGCTTACAAAGAATGATCCCTTTTTATTTTTCAAAATCAAAACAATACAGATGTGTGTCATGTAGGAATACGTGAGAAAACACACAATGAACTTTTAAAAACTGTTATTTTGGGAATGAACTGTGTGGTGGAGGAACTTTCATTTAACTCAAAGGCACTGGCTTCAAATATTTATTATGAAAAAAATTTTTAAAAAAGATTTTATCTATTTATTTGACAGATCACAAGTAGGCAGAGAGGCAGGCAGAGGGAGAGGGGGAAGCAGGTTTCCCACTGAGCAGAGAGCCCGATGTGGGGCTGGATCCCAGAACCCTGAGATCATGACCTGAGCCAAAGGCAGAGACTTAACCCACTAAGTTATCCAGGCACCCCTATTATGAAAATTTTTATAATAACTGAAGATATTTAAAAGTTCTACAATGTTTTTGAAAGAAATTCCCAATTTTCTTTTTTATGAGTTAATATGTGAGATAAATTCTTCAAAGATTTCATCTTTAAATGTTAAACAGATAGCCAGACCTCTGGAACCTTGAGAAACTGGAAAACCTTACTAGTATCTTACCATTAGGTAAAAGCCCCCAAATGAACTGCTTAGGGCATAGGCATAACTATTTAAAGTGGGAGCCTATCAAAGAATGCTTTGGGAGAGATATTAAAATAATTTCAGAGCTAGGAAGTTCCACTGATGAGGAGTGGGAAGAAATTGCACTTTATCACTGTGCTGTTGAATAAAAATTCAAGACTAAATGTCAATTTAATCGTGAAAACAAAAACAAAGTAACCCCAAAAATATCAAATAAGGACAGAGAACCTTTAAGCCCCAAACCATGTCCAACAGAAAAAGACAACTTGTGCTAAATTACACATCAAGACAAAAAAGAAAGGAGGTGGGCGGGAACAGATGCACATGGCATCCTCCAAAGTTTGGTTTTTGATCTCTACAGCGGATCAGAGGGCAACTTAAAAGACACGTAGAGCCAAAGTAGTTGCGATGATTTTCATAATCACCTTCAAATTTTCTCTGAAGCCCTGAGTGCAAAATACTACTTCCTTTCCTCTTTTTCTAAGGACTCGGCCAGGGTCCACAGGCAATCCTGGAGATGGCCTGGGGCGATCAGAAAGGCTGTGAGAAACACAATTTCCCTTCAGAGGCCGCTCCAGCCAGCAATTAAGCAAATCTGTAGAGTGGAGAGAAGTGACCAGTCTGCAACTGGAAATCCTCCTCCCCGACACAAATAAAACACATCGCCCGAGGCCAGCGGAGGCAGGGTACTGGAGAGAAGAGAGCTGCTAATCCAGGAGTTATAATCACACATGCGCGAACATGACTTGACACACACCCACCCGGCACGGAGCGCAAAGCTGGGAGCTCCAAACGGAAGACAAAACGCTCAGGGAGCTTCCTCGGCTTCGCGGAAAGCCATTCTATTCCATTTTCTCTTTCCTCCCCAGAGCGTTCCCACCAAGGAGCCGCCTTGGACCCCACCCCGCCAGGCTGGCCCAGCCCGTGGCCCCCTCGCGCCCAGGTGGCTTTAGAGCTGGCAGGCTCCCGCGGCTTGCCTGGCGATCGGCTGCACTCCTGATCGGAGAGAAAGGAAGATAAACCATTTACACTTCAGTGGCACCGTACTCACCCTCATAACTGACACCGCCGACTTTGCTGTGGTTGCCCTCACAGTCCTCCTCCCCTCCGGCAGCAGCCCCCTGGGTCTGAGGGGCAGCCATTACGCGGCAGAAGAGAAAAAGGAGGGCCGCCAGGGGGATCCGGAACCAATGGAAACGCGACTGGAGGCGAACTCCCCATCAACGCAGGGTTTCCTTCAGGTCCTCGCCTCGCCTTCACGTCCTGGGCCAATAGGATGTGGAGAGCCGTGCCTAATCCCCGCCCCCAGCCGCTGATGCGACGCCCCCTTCCGGGATGGCGAGGCCCAGAACTACAATTCCCAGCGTGCTGCAGGGACCCTGGGACAGGGAGGGCTGGGAGAGGCGCTGGCGGGCGGGGGTGCGCCGGAGAGTATCCTGGCTTGTAGCTTAGTTCAGTGAATCAGAACAATGACTGCGCCGCCGGGTTCCCGGGAGCGCGTCGGAGGACTGTGAGCAGCCGCCGCCGGCAGAACGGCGGGCGGCGCAGCCTCAGCTGCGCGGTGTCAACGCCGGGTTCGGGAGCTTCCAGCGCAGACCTTGCCCAGCGCCCATAGCTCGCGCGGAGCCGCCGGGTTCCAGCGTTGCAGCCGCTACTCGGGAACTGTGCATTGTTGTGAGCCGGAGAAGGCGCGGGGATTACAAAGCCCAAAGACCCCGGGCTCCCCTTTAGCCATGTGGATACCTACGGAGCACGAGAAATACGGCGTGGGTGAGTCTCCGCGGGACGAACTTTTATTCCTCTCTGGCCCGAGCGGGTGCGCATTTCGCGTCCTTGCCTCTGCGCCCCTCTGGCTCCTCGGGGCTGGAAATGCCTAATCCTGGCTTCGCGCTGCGGGTTTGGGGCTTTGCCGAGCCAGCTCCGGGCAGAGGGGTGTGCGCCGGGGTCTCGCCCCTCACCGCCCCATCGGCGCTTCCCGCACCCGCTCCCGGAGCGCCGGGACGGCTGGAGGAGCGCGCAGCCAGCCCTCCCGCTGCGGGCTCTGCCTGCGGAGTTTGGAGTGGCGACGGGGCGTATGTGAGTCAAGTTGGAAGAGGAGAGCGAACGGCGCTCCTCTCCCTCGTTCCCCTTCTTCCCCAAAGAGGGCAATGGGATGCAACGATTCCCGGGGTGGAGAGGGAGACAACAACTACTGCTCATAGAGAACACCCCCAAAACAGAAGGGAGGCGCAAAGCCTTTTCTTCGGCTCCACATTCTCAGAGTGCGGAATGTGGCACCGTCCTCAAAAGAGCCGTTCTGACAGACCGAGCCCGACCCCAGCTTCCTTCCTTCCTCCTATCCCGGGTTCCTGGGGTGCGAGCGTTGAGGGGCTGGGGGATTGGTAAATTTCAACATCTGCGCCTCTTTGGTCTTTGGAGGGGAACGGGTATTTCAGCAGTGTTTTTACTTCTGGCCACCCTCTCGGCCCCGGGGTAAGCGGGTTGGGGGTTGGTGGAGGACAGCTGTGGAGTGATAATGGGGAGGGGGAAATCGGAAAGCCTGGGTCTTCGAGGCGAGGAGACAGGTTTTAGGAAAGGACTACTCTGACACTGGCGTTCGGAAGAAAAAGAAGAGGGTAGCTCTCGCGGTTCTGTGCAAAGGTGAACAACAAAGGACATTAATGTTGACTGATGAATACAGGAGTCTCCCTTCCTTTCCCTCCTCCCATTTCAGGCTGATTACAGTTCCCGTTTTTGTTGTTTGATTTCAGCTGGGTCTCTCCTTGACAGTTAGTCCTTTTAGGGTTGTGGCTATTAAGAAGCCAGGCTTTCTGACAAGCCTGCAGCGGCCAAATGCAATTATAACCTCTCAGAAGGTTTAACAGGCTGGAAGCGTTTTGGATTTTACTAACAATCTTTATTTCCTATAATGCCCTGTCCTGCTGATTGCTGTACTTTTTTTTTTTTATTATTTGGATACAGAGCTAGTGATTTAGACAATGTGTAGGTATCTGCTTATGTTCTAAATTAATTTTCCTGTAATTAAAAAAAATCTGGTAAACCTTTCCAGGGAATCGTAGTCATAGGGGATTTTTTTTTTTTTTTAACTTCCCATGGGGATAGGACTTTGGAGTCCACTGAAAGGACTGTATGATTAAACAAAGTCATTCCTATATTTTCATTAGCTTTCATTCTGACTGTGACCGTTCAGCAAGACAATAGTTTGTCCTAGACCCACCTTTGGGAAGGGGTTCCAGTTTTCCCTCTCTTCAAAGTGGGGGGAGGAACCTTTGCCAGGCACTGTACTGGCAAAGAGTAGATGTTGGTGGTTATTATTTTCCTTCTGTCCCCTCCTCCCTCTCCCTTTTTGGGTAGATTAACCCTTGCTAGGAAAAGATATTGCCTTTGCTGAAATGGTGAGGGACTGGAGTGTCCCCCTTGTCACTCACTGGCTTTAACACTCAGTGCAGGAAGCACAGATCCATCCAGCAACACTGTCCCGCTTGGAGTCGATCCCAGATGTTGCTTTCTTCCAAGTGTTAAATTATACAGATTATGGATGGGATTTATTTTCTTGATTTCTTTACATGCCAAGTCACAGCTGGGTGCTGGTATTGATTAGTTTTTCTCTCTCCTTTCTTTATAAGCCTTGGGCAGAGGCTTATAACACACTCTGGGATTTCCTGGAATGGCAAACCGGATATTATCGGTCAAGTGTTTTGGGCTGCAGCAGACACCTTGCTTTTGGGTGGTTGTGATTTGGTTGCAGAGAAGGGGGAGATGGAAGGGTGAGCACAGCGTTGGGAAATGGTTGAGTTGAGAGGTGAGGATAGAGAGGGGTCTGCTCATTTATACAGTATCACACATACAGGAATGTTAATTTTTTATCATTAATTTTTGAGCATTTGGCTTATGAAATGCTTAGCTGTTCTTTAGAATCCATCTGTTAGGCGTGTGCATTTTGTGTATGTGTGTATGCGTGTGTCTGTGGTGAAAATTTTGCTAGGATACTTAAGTGTAGACTTTATTTCTCACCATGGAGAGCACTATTTGCAGCTGTCTATGCTGCAAGTTTTTTTTTTAAACCTTGCTTTTTAAAAAAAAGTACATGTGCTTTTCTCATCTAGTTCTTATAAATACTAAGGAAGAGATATTTTACGGGCAAAAATGTTTGGTTGTTATCAGGTGTAGTAGTAATTCAGTTCCTCATTCTTTGAAATAAATTAGTCTTTGTAACTTGAAATAACTGAAGTTTTACTGCACATTGTATATTTTTCCAATGATACTTCTTAGCCATCATCAATTATATATGAGATAATTATATGTCTTTATATATTTCTGTTTTAGTTTCAAACAACATAGTTAATATGGATAAAATTAAATTTCATACCTGTAGTAAGATGTATCAGATAGAAATTCTTTTCAAACCTGACATATGGGCACTCTTGATCCAATTGTTGGGTGGTCTTAAAATAATGTATACTTATAGACCTAAGTGTTCAGATTCTAGAGAATTAGAAGGTATAGTGATAAAGCTGTAGTCCTGAGGGATAGGGGAACTTGTCTCTTTTAAACCATATTACTAGGCACAATGATAGACATATTTTATCTTGGGAAATTCTGGTTAGCTCTTGGTCGTAGGCTAGACACTGCTGCCAGCTGTGTGACCTTAGGTAAGTCATTTAACCTTTTTGAGTGCCTGCCTTTCGGACAAATGATATCCAAAGTCCTTCCCAGTATTAATTCTTGAGAGCTCTTCCAAACAAATGCGTCCTTTGGTTAGAAAAATACCTCCATGGTGTAGAGATTGTTATAAGAAAGACACTTTTGTTGTGACCATACCACATGGTTTTTTTAACTAACATCAAAGGTAAGCAAAAGCTACCTGGCAGGCTGCCAGAACCCAGGTGATAGTTACCCATTTCAATCTGTTTGATTCTCTTTCTTTAGGAGGAGCTCCTTGGGCAGTGACAAAAGCATTCTTTTTTTTTTTTTTAAAGATTTTATTTATTTATTTGACAGACAAAGATCACAAGTAGGCAGAGAGGGAGGCAGAGAGAGAGGAGGAAGCAGGCTCCCCGCTGAGCAGAGAGCCCGAAGCGGGGCTCGATCCCAGGACCCTGGGATCATGACCTGAGCTGAAGGCAGAGGATTTAACCCACTGAGCCACCCAGGTGCCCCGACAAAAGCATTCTTGATAGACAACCCCCCCTTGCAAATTTCCTTAGGATCACTATCTGCTTCCTGCATGTCCTCATCAGTCATACCTCCCTTTCCTCCCTCAAAGGGATGGGAATTAGTCACAGAGAAAGTTACATTTTGACCATTGAAGATACATTTCTGTATTCATTTGTTCAGTATCCATGTATGCACAGGCTTCCCAGGTGAGACAGCGGGCCTTACTGGGCTGCAAACTGTGTGCCTCTCAACCCCAGCCAGATGTTTAACATGTGTGAGCTTAGAGGGAGATTATATACTGGATTGGTCAGTGCAAAAAATTCATGAGCCTGACAAGAAACAAAACTCGGAACGAGCTTATCTGAAGGTTATGAGTATCATTTTAAAAATGAATTATTTAGGGGCGCCTGGGTGGCTCAGTGGGTTAAAGCCTCTGCCTTCGGCTCAGGTCATGATCCCAGGGTCCTGGGATTGAGCCCCACATCGGGCTTTCTGCTCAGCAGGGAGCCTGCTTCCCCAGCTCCCTCTGCCTGCCTCTCTGCCTGCTTGTGATCTCTGTCTGTCAAATAAATAAATAAAATCTTAAAAAAAAAAAATGAAGTATTTAGGGGCGCCTGGGTGGCTCAGATGGTAAAGTGCCTGCCTTCAGCTCAGGTCATGATACCAGAGTCCTGGGATCCAGCCCCACATAGGGCTCCCTGCTCAGTGGGGAGCCTCCTTCTCCCTCTATTGTTCCCTCCGCTTGTGCTCTCCCACTCTCTCTGTCAAATAAATAAGCAAAATCTTTAAAAAATAAAATAAAAAAAATAAAACATATAATAAAAATGAAATATTTAGTACTTCCATCACTGAGTTCTTAAAAGTATTCCTGTCCTCCATTTCTCTTGTAGTGTTCTGAATGCATTCAAGTAGGAATCCCATTCCTTTTTAAAGCTTCCTCTGTTTTACAGGAAGAGGTACCTTCCTGTATTCTACAGGATCTTTAGGATGTCTTTTCCTTGAAAAAGTGTACTTTAATGGTAGCTTATATGGGAGAGTTATGAGCGAGTGTGTCTGTCCTCTTAGCTGTTTTTCAGTTTTTTAGTTACTAGTTTCTTGAAATGTTTCCTATTTGCAGTACCGTGTGTCCAGATAACATGTATAGCTAAATAGTGATGTGCTGCCTGAAATTATTTGTGGCACTTAGAGCCTGGCACAGGATTCTTCACTTTAAATGGGAAGCAAAGAGGAGTGATTTACATCTCCAGGCAAAGCATCACTGAAGCAGAGCGCCTGGGTGGCCCGTTGGGTTAAGCCTTTGCCTTCCGCTCAGGTCATTGTGTCAGGGTCTTGGGATTGGGCTCTCTGCTCAGCAGGGAGCCCCCCCCCCCCCCCGCCCGCCCCCCCCCCCCCCCCCCCGCCGCCTGCCTCTCTGCCTACTTTTGATCTCTTCTTTCTCTGTCAAATAAATAAATAAATAAAATCTTTGGGGGAGAAAAAAAGTATCCCTGAAGGGCTGTGCAGACAGAATGGCAACTGATGTTCTTGAGTTCCTCTCTTAGGGGAATAGCCTCTAAACGTGTTTCCCTCTTTTGGCCATTCTCCTAAGGGAGGAGGATTCTTTCACGAGGCAC